CTTAATTCTGCCGGCATCGCAAGCATCGAAAATCGACTTCAGAGTTTAATGTTGTTCTTGAAAAAGGAAGTTGACAATGAGCAGCACCTTTCTTTAGCAGTCGAGAATTTCCATTTGCATGCTGCTAAAACCGAAGATTTTAAATCTACAGGCCCAAAAACAAGGAGACACGAGGAAAACAAGCACAAGTCTCCTTCCGCGATGGGTTTAGTTAATTCTCACACTATCTATAAATGTGTTTTTTGTCAGAATTCGCATGAAAGCAGCCACTGTTTTAAAGCACAGAAATTAACTTATGACCAAAGGAAAAATATTTTGACAGAAAAAGGCGCGTGTTTTCGTTGTTTGAAAATTGGACATCAGTCTCGAAAATGTCGCAGTCAATTAAGTTGTTTAATTTGCTCTAAATCGCATGTACCTTTAATGTGCACTGAACTTTCAAGACACCGGGTAAAGCAGGATACAGAAGAGCAGAAAGAAAACGATGGCATTGCCGTGCCAAGAATTGAACAGACGCTCGCTAATAGTGCTAATACGAATGTTTTTTTGCAAACTCTGCGTATTGAAATAAACTATTTAGACAAGTCGCGAGTTGTACGTGCTCTTATAGATACCGGATCGCAAAAAACGTACATTTTGAAATCTACAGCTAAACTTTTGGGTTATCCTAGTAAACGACAGATTAATCTAGTACATGGATTGTTTGGAGGAAACCAATTAGCGCAAAAACATGATTGCTATGATGTTAGAGTGTTTCATAACAATTATAGTTATACATTTGAGGCACTAGATCAAAACGTTATATGTAGCGACGTCTCTTCCATATTTAATGGTCCCTGGATAGAAGAACTTGGTATGTTTAATATAAAACTATCGGACTTGGGTGATGCGTCTCCTATAGAGATTTTAATAGGTGCTGATATTGCTGGAAAACTCTATACTGGGAGGAGGCACATATTGGAAAGTGGATTGGTAGCTGTAGAAACATTATTAGGTTGGACTTTAATGGGCAAGATACCTTTAGGTCAACGGGACAATAATACCACATCGGTTGTATCACTTTTTGTTAAAAATGCTTCAGTTAGTAATCTTTGGGAGCTAGACGTTTTGGGCATTGGTGATCCAACTGAAAGGAAGTCAAGTGAAGAAACTGCGCTAGCAGCCAGGAAACTTTTCTTTGAAACAGTGTCATCGGATTCTAGTGGACGATATGAAGTGAGACTCCCATGGCTGGAAGGACATCCAGCATTGCCGAGCAACTACCAAATTGCAAAAAGGAGACTCGAGAGCACATTTAAGAAAATAACGAAAGACGGATATCTTGAAGCCTACGACCAAATATTTAAGGATTGGTTGGACGAAGGTATAATTGAAGAAATATCCGAGGAGCAGCCTAGCCAAGAATGTCATTATTTACCCCATAGACCGATAATTAAGCCAAATAGCTTATCTACAAAAATCAGACCGGTCTTTGATGCTTCGGCCAAAGAAAAACACAGACCTTCTTTAAATCAGTGTCTTGAAAAGGGGGTTAACCTGATTGAATTGATTCCAGCTATTTTGTTGAGATTTAGACAAAAGGAAATTGGTGTAATCTCCGATATTCGGAAAGCATTTTTGCAAATTGGCCTGCATAAAGCTGACAGGGATTTTCTTCGCTTTCTATGGATAGATAAAACTGGAAAAGAAAGGATTTACCGTCACTGTCGAGTTGTATTTGGAATAAGTAGTAGTCCATTTTTATTGGCAGCTACGCTGGACTATCATTTATCGCAGATGTTAGAAAAATGCTCTTCGGCACGGCTTAATGTTTCAGAAGACACAATTACAAATTTATCCAATAGTTTTTACGTTGATAATTGTGTTACCAGTGTAAGAAATGAGCAGGAACTGAGAACTTTTATAGAAGAGTCAAACATAATAATGAGTGAAGGCAAGTTTGACCTCAGAGGGTGGGAGTATACTGGCCAAATACAGGATGAAAACCTTGCAGCTTCAACTCAGGTGTTGGGAATAAAGTGGAATAAGAGTGACGACACTCTATTTCTGAATAAAGACAATAGATTATCGGGAATGAACGCTTTTAAGGATGAGCATGGACTAATTCGCTTACAGTCGCGTATTAGTAATAGAAATGACCTAGAGTATTTTCGGTTTCCTATAGTTTTACCGGCAAAACATTTTTTAGTGAATAGGTTGTTATTCCGGGAACATGTTAAGTCGTGTCATATTGGAACTCAAGGACTCACGAGTATCGTGCGCGAACGATATTGGATTTTAGGTGGTCGACGGGCGATAAAATCAGCCATCATTAAGTGTGTCGTCTGCAAAAGGCATAATGCGAAGCCATTCGGGGCAAGTGCTCCGCCGTTACCAGTAGATCGCGTCCGGGACGCGGTAGCATTCGAAACGACGGGCGTAGATTTTGCGGGACCGCTTTACCTAGCCACCGGAGGAAAAGCATGGATATGTCTTTTTACGTGTGCCGTATATCGTACTGTACATGTCGAACTTTGCACCTCCTTGTCAGTCGCCTGCTTCATGCAGGTTCTAAGACGTTTTATTGCCAGACGTGGTCGTCCGAAGACTATATACAGTGATAATGGAACTAACTTTGTCGGAACTGAGAACGCGTTTTCTCGAGTAGACTTTCAAAAAATAGCTGAGAACAGTATTAATGAGCGTATCTACCCCATGGAGTGCCCAGCAGATTTTTCTCAGACACTAGGCAATGACCGAACGGACAACACAAAAGAGACCGAAGACAGAGGATCTCGTTTAAGTTTATTTGAAGGCACGGAAGTGAGTGCCTCCGAAAAACGACGCGGAAACGGGAGTGTCTGAAAGCAGAGTACTCGAAACGAAAAAAAAATTGTTACGCGAAGTGGGCGCAGCGTCAAAACTCCTGTGCGATACGCTAACGAGTAGATTTAGATTTTTGCTTAATTATATTTCGAATTTTGTCTGTTATGGTTTTATGTTATTTGCTGTAGTTTTGTTTACTTTTGTGCCAATATTAATATTGTGAGCCATGTTTACTTTTGTAAAATGCCTCAGGTGGGAGGATGTCACAGCCATTTGATAATTATTTTGTTTGTATACCGCTTTGAATGCTGAAGTTACAAAATCTTTTATTAAAATTCAAAGAAAGCTTTAGCTATAAAACCTTTTTAAATCATAACAATCTTTCCACTTGTCGGCAATAATTTTTATATTTTATCGCCATCACTTCAATTTATTTTGTTTATTTTAACGCGTAAGTGGTGTAATAAAAATTGATGAGGTTCTTACAGTTGACTAAGAATCTGAGCGCTGAACGGTCGGTATCCGTGGCGTAGTATTTTTTTAATTTTGTGTATGTATAGATTGATGCTTATAAGTGATAATTTTGTTACATCATTTTTTAAAAGCACGCGATATGTTTTGTTGGGAACTGGCAAATATAGATTTTCAATAATTTTGAAGTTTAATTTTGTAATATACGAACCGTGTATTTTATACGCAAATTCGGGTAGAATTGCGTTGGTACACACTTGACAATTATAGTTACAGACGATATAACGAGGATGGACAGTCACTATAAAAGAGCAGTAACTCCAACCAGAAAGGTTGAAGTAGTGGAAAGGTTTTGAGTTAAGAAAATAAAATTATACGCATGATTAAACATTTTGTATTGTAAAAAAATATTTACATAGCAGGCAAAAAAAGTAGGAACCTGTAGTTTGAGCTGGTTGGAGAATACTAGGATGTATTGTGAATGGCGCATTGTTAAGTTGGCTGTTATCAGTTCATTGTGAATATGTTGACTTGGAATGTTGGTGAACGTTTGCAACAGATGAAGAGTATGCAATTTAGTTAGATTGTTGTTAATTCAAATTAAACTTCTCTTCAGTTCGCTGTTTACACCAAAAAATCTCTGTTGTGTTTAGTCAAAAGTTTATTTCCTGTTCCTGTCCTGTTCTTACAAAAAGTGTTCATCATCATATCTGCCCTAGCACTTTTAACAGTTTCATTTCTACGTCCTGTTTCCTCGTACGTTTGGGATTTAATGTGTACCACATTGGGATGACAATTGAAGAGCGGGGTGTTCCGTTGGAGTTTTCTAAAAGGAGTCCCTTGCTTGAAACATGAACTTGTAACTAATTAAACTTTTTTTTTTATTTCCAACGATTTTTTTTAATTCCTAGTTTTCATTGCTATTCATTTTTATTTAGACTACTTATACTATACTAAATATATACATATTAATAAATATTAATAAACATAATAATAGTTACCTTGTTTCAATATTTTCCCAATTTCTTCCCATGTTTTTAATTTCACTGGAAATCGGAGTACAACGGATGTGATGAATCGTAGAGTAGTTTTTTTTTACGAACGCTCTCAATTAATTGTTCATCCTCCATTGAAAATCTGAATGAAAGCGACGAAGTAAGTGAGGAAAATGTTTTACAACTGAAAACAGGTGGCTGACAGACTGTGTCACATTCACACCACCCCGGCAGTCAGTTCCAGGTTCCAGGTACAGTCTTGATCGCTGGTGGAGCGCCCGGATGGGCAGTGATCTTGACTGTATTGTGACTATACTGTATAATGAGTAGAAATTACCTTATACGAAAACCACAGAAGCAATCTTGACTGTACCAGCTCTGACATATGATCTGATCGACCCGTGACTGTTGATTTAAATCAACTTTACGTCTTCTTATTTGCTTAAACTATACTTGTATAGGTTTCCCTTGCATTATTTTTGAATTTATTTTTTACAATTTTACAGTATTCCTGTATTTATCAAAACCTTTTTTTAAATATCTCTGTATAAGTATCTCTGTAGATATTAAATTTGTTATTTTTTACTCCCCGGTATTTATACACCCTAATATATTTAATATTGTGTAATAAGTGCATTGTTTACCATTAAAGAAATAACTTTGAGTTCCATATCAGATATTGATAACCCAATATAGTTCACGATTTTTTTAATAATACAAAACTTTTAGGTGATAACAATCTTCTGTATCTTTATGTTCAAAATGTATTTCAGTGGACAGTAGTGGATTATTCATATTTCCTCACAGCACATTCAACAGTCACATTAATCGGTAAGTATGTAATGCATGAAAAAGAATCAATTACAATTTTTTATAATTCTCCAATTTTAACACATTATGTACCGCATTTACATATATACTTAAACTATACAGAGTGGCCCAAAAGTCTGGAAACGGCTAATTATCTCGTAAATTACTAGACATAATTATACAAAATTTGAGATACGCCTATTTTGGGATACGGAGATTCCATATTTGGTATTTGCAATGTTGCCAGATTTTCAGTTTCTCTTATATTACTAGTAACTTTGGTTTTTCAAATGCATCACCCTGTATATTCAGTCATTATTGGAATCTCCTATTAAATACGAGTTCAACCATATGTAACACTTATGATTTTATGTAGTCTGGAAGGTCTTAAATACATAAAACAGAAGTCTGGCAACGCCTAAATTGTTTCAATACATTTTTTAATACTAACTATTTTCAAATACATTAAAACGTAACAATTGATAGTTTAGAATATTTTTTAACATAATAGTTACGTTATTAAGTGTTCAAAATGTGCTCCATTTGTGAGTTGACAGCACTCTAATCGATGGTAGAATGCGTCTACCACATTTCTCCATGATTGTCTAGAAATTATTCGAGATTCATCGATAATTCATTGCCTTAGCTATGCAAGACTTGCTGGTTAAGTTTTGTAAACTGAATTTTTCAAGTATCTCTAATAAAAATAATCTTTAGGATTGAGATCGGGTGAACGTGGAGGCCATTCAATTCTACCTTGTCTACCAATTTATCGTCCGGGAAATATCTCATCTAAATAACGCCGAACATTTACACCAACTATCTGACGTTAAATTTCTTTCGATAAAAAATGGCCCAATTAAATAAGTACCTACTATAACTGACCATACATTTAATTTTTGTGGTCTTTGAGTATGGTTTTCACGCATTCAGTGTGAATTTCACACGAGTTCAGCTATTCAATACGAGTTCAACCATATGTTCACTTGATTTTATGTAGTCTGAAAGATCTTAAATACATAAAACAGTGCAAAATATGTAGATTTTAATAAATTTAAATATTTAAATGGAGAATGCTGTGATTTTGACATTTGTTCACCATTTAAATTATGAACTAAAATTGACAGTAGTTGTGGTTCAAAAAGTTCTGCAATTTAAATTGCTTCTCTAAAATGCCGTTCTCTAAACCGTTCTCCTATTCATAAGACGACGGTACAAAAAACTGTAAGGCGATTTGAGGAATCTGGAGAAGTAAAAGATAGATACCGATCAGGTTGACCGAAACGAGTTATCAATGACAACAAAACTTCAGATATAAGCAAAGTTTTGTTGAAGATCCACATACATCCCCAGGCAGGGTTGCACAAGTACATGATGTAGGTCATTCTTCAGTCTTACGTTTATTACGTAAAAATAAATTTAAATCATACAAAATTAACTTATTGCAAGAATTAAGTGAAGATGACTTTGGTCGTAGATTAGAGTTTACTGAGGTAATGATGGATAAAATTGAAAATTATTAAAATTTCGTTAACAGAATATGTTTTTCCGATGAAGCAACTTTTACACTGTGTGGAAGTGTAAATCGACACAATTTAAGGTACTGGTGTGACGTAAATTCACACTGAAGACTGAATGCGTGAAAACCATACTCAAAGACCACAAAAATTAAATGTATGGTCAGATATAGTAGTTACTTATTCAATTGGGTCATTTTTTGTCGAAAGAAATTTAACGTCAGATAGTTGGTGTAAATGTTCGGCGATATTTAGATGAGATATTTCCTGGACGATAAATTGGTAGACAAGGTAGAATTGAATGGCCTCCACGTTCACCCGATTTCAATCCTAAAGATTATTTTTATTAGGGATACTTGAAAAATTCAGTTTACAAAACTTAACCAGCAAGTCTTGCAGAGCTAAGGCAACGAATTATCAATGAATCTCGAATAATTTCTAGACAATCATGGAGAAATGTGGTAGACGCCTTCTACCATCGATTAGGGTGCTGTCAACTCACAAATTGAGCACATTTTGAACACTTAATAACGTAACTACTATGTTAAAAAATGTTCTAAACTATCAATTGTTACGTTTTAATGTATTTGAAAATAGTTAGTATTAAAAAATTTATTGAAACAATTTAGGCGTTGCCAGACTTCGGTTTTATGTATTTATGACCTTCCAGATTACATAAAATCATAAGTGTTACATATGGTTGAACTCGTATTGAATAGGAGATTCCAATAATGACTGAATATACAGGGTGATGTATTTGAAAAACCAAAGTTACTAATAATATAAGAAAAACGGCAAATCTGGCAACATTGTAAATATCAAATATGGAATCTCCGTATCCCAAAATAGGTGTACCTCAAATTTTGTACAATTATGATTAGCATTTTACGAGATAATTAGCCGTTTCCAGACTTTTGGGCCACTCTGTATGCCTCTCCGCTATCTACTATTTAACACTCTTTATTTTCCAGTAATCTTTTTTTATGATTTTATGATAATCTTATATTTGTATCCCGAATACTTACAGATATATCTAGAATAAAGTACGTGCCTCGTAGTTGCGAATATTACCGCAAAATATATTAAAATGACCAAGGTTTTCAATAGTTCTAAAATGACAATGGAAAACAATTAGGTATGTGAATTTTCACAGAACGGTTTAATCGTACCTTTAAGAGGCTACAATTCCACTATGGGATATAAAGCCATGTGTATTATTATCTTTGATAATAAAAAAAGATTACTTTCATAGTCCAAGACTATTAAGTATACAGTGCATTCTAAAAGTACTGAGAATTTGAGCCAACGTATTGAACTTTGTGCACCTTATATTATGTATTTAAGAGAACTATCATTACTTTTTTTGGTTTTTAGGTAATCTATTGGGACTTTGTTTATTTGTCAAGATTTTACGCACCGGTGATCTTCTTATTTTGCTTATCACAACGTTTACAAGAATTATATCAAACATTATATTGGGATGTGCAAAATCTTCTTTTGTCCTCTACATAAGTAAGTAATTAAGTATTTATTTATTTCTGTTGTCTATATCTTATTAAAAAATAGGGATAATTCGATCAGGTGTAAAGAATAAGCATTTTCTTTTTGCGTTTTGGTTAGTGTATCTGATTTTTGAAGGGGCCTGATAGTGATATCCATTTGTGATGGTAAATTGTTTATCTATGCAAAATTAAATACCAATAATTAAATACCCAAGTGGTATACGTATATATGGTAGACAATTCTGGTTTTAACTGATGTTCATTAAAATTAACGTTGTATTTCTTCACAAAATTTATAATGTCTGATTTTAACCATTTAGCGGAAGGTTGTTTATTCATGATTCCACTATGGTAGGGTGCGTTGTCCATGACAATCAAAGAGGGGTGTTCTAAATTAGGAAGTAATGATGTACTTATCCACCGTAACAATCTGCAGTCAAAGATTTTGAACAAAATAACAAACGGCGTTTGAAATAAAACCTTTTGCCGAACCGGCATGAACTACAATAAATATTTTTCCATCATAATCACCTGATTTACGTACACTTCTGCTGTTGTCATCCTGCCGCTACATAATTTGATTTACCCTAGAAAAAATCCACGTTTCGTCTAAAAATACAACTTATCATAACTATATACTTTTTCTGTTTTCCATGTATTTACGTAAGAAACACGCCCGTGCTGCGATATAATTTTTTTCGATTAAAGCTCTTCGATTATCTTTTTTTTCTTAATTAGAGCCCAAATCTTTTAATATTTTACTCAAGGATATTTCACATGTAGGATGTCGAAACAATTTCTTTAGTCTGCAGCTCGTTGATCAATGCTTCACAAATTACATGTTTCTCTAAAAAGATATTTACTTTAATATACTATTATAACATGTTAAGTCTTTCTCGTAATTCTCAATAGAAAGTTGGTTTACTTAATATCGTGGTACATATTATATATTGTATTTCCAATTGTCATTTTATTACCCTCAGGTAAAGCAGTAGTTTGCGTTTTTAAACGAGATCTGCTTTTTCCTGGAGAAGATAAAACAGGATTTTTTCTTTTCTTTTTTGTATATTGTATGCTGTTTGTTGTCGACCAAATAAAAATTTTAAATCCAATTATAAACATTTTGTTATGGTAATAAACTTGGCAAATAAATAATATATGTGCTTGTCATCATTCAAGCTTTACAATGTGTGTACAATAGTGCACATTTGAAAATTGTACTTTTTGTACCTCTTGAACAGATGACAACGGTTCTTATGGTCCCCCATTCCTTTTTTCTAATTCAAAGTACTCGATTAAATTTAAAACGAGTTCTTGTGCTTGTGAGGTAAGACTTTATCCAGACATAATCTAAAATATTGCAATAAAATATTTCTTATTGTCATTTCTTTCACTTTTGCGGAAACCTAAACAAAACCATTCCTTAACTGTGTGAATGAGGTTAACTTTGTATATAAATTAATGACAAAATAAAATACATTAAAATAAAATTTCAAACTTTTGTGTAATATAAAAAACTTCTTAATGTAAAAAGAGGCCAAAAAAACAGCAAAAAATCCAACAAACTGACAGCCAAAAGTAAACAAACCAGAAACGTCACAAATTGTACCTAAACCATGAAAACGTCCCCAAGAGTCCTTTTTGTATCTATTTCTGCTCGATTTACAGAGTCTAGAATTTTACACATTATTTTTATATTGTGAGTATTAATGTGAGTTATAATGTGAGTATTAATGAGTATTAAGTAAAGACATGTGTCTTTACTTAATAACAGGCAGTAGCTGGTTCGTCTTTTGTTTCATGCGTAAGAAACAATGATGCTAGATAAAAAGTATGTGTTTGATCTCGCCAGGTATTAATGACGCACAGAATCTTGGACCCAACTGTACCTTAGTCATTCACCACGTTGATTTCTTTCGAGAACTTACTTTACTTTATCGTGTCCGGACATGTCATTCATAAAATTTCGGCCCAGTATCGGGCTACGTCGGTTCCATCTTTGTTGGCGAGCCACAAATCTTCAAGGGTACATCGATGAGGACAGTTTCTGCATGTAAGAAGATGTTCCATATTCTGTGTTTCTCCACAGTCACAGTTCACATCATCTTGGTCTAGTTTTCCACATTTTGCCATGTTTGATTTTACTGTAGCGACCCCCGTTCTTATCCTATTCATAGTTTTCCACGTTTTAAAGTCTAGGGTCTGGCCGGTCCATTGAACCTGGTGAAGTAGAAAATACTCAGGCGGTTCATCCTGCACTGTTCCAAGGAAGCTTTTCCTAGATTTTAGTCGCTTTCGTGGTGTTCGAGCTTTGTATATGGCATGCCGCTCGTCCGCGATCTGTTTAATTTTCTCTATGTGCTCTGCAGCGCATCTGCGTGTTGAGGGTTCTGCAAAACCTGCTGCTCTATATAGATTTGAAAGTGGCGTTGGTTTCATGCACCCCGTTACTATCCTGCATGTCTCATTTAGCGCAGTATCAACTTGTTTGGTGTGGGCAGATCTGCTCCAAACGGGGCACGCATATTCAGCAGTTGAGAAACGGTGCCTGTGCCGTTGTTCTTAAAACGCCAGGGCGTGCGCTTCATTTACTTTCCGTTAGTTTTCTGAGTATGCTGTTCCTAGTTGTTACTTTCCCTCTCGTTTGTATGCAATGTTTTCTGTAGATGAGGGACCGGTCCAGAGTTACACCAAGATATATATTGAGATTGGGTCTCGGAGAATTCTGCAGGTAGTACGCTGTCATTGTTTTTAAGGCAGTTTCGAGTTTCTCCTCCACTTCTTCAAAACTATTTCCTTGAGCACATATTGCAAGATCGTCAGCATAGAGGAAGTGCTTGGTTTCGGTCGGAGTAGATTGGTCGTTTGTATATATATTGAAGAGTATTGGTGCTAAAACACTTCCCTGTGGGAGACCGTTTTTTTGAACTCTCCACCTACTTACTTTACCCTCCAGCATAACGAAAAACCGTCCATTTTGCAGTAAGGAATATACGACCTTTCCCAGATGGTGGTCATTGAGAGTGTCGTATAATTTGCGGAGCAATGTTTTGTACCTTACTGTGTCATAGGCCGTTGTCAGATCTACAAAAGCAGCCCCTGTTATAAGTTTTTCTTCAAAGCCCTCTTCAATGTGTTCTGTTAATTCGAGGAATTGACCGGTGCAAGATTTGCCAGGTCTGGATGTTCAGACCGTCGTGGAGTTCTTTTAATGTAAAAGGAGTTCCTAGGTGGTTTGTCTTCGAATCCAATCTTCTCCTAGTGTTTGGGTCCTTAATTAGTAGTTCTTCCAATCGTAAGGAGTTGAGCAGCGACTTGGTTTGCTGTAACCTTGCAAGGTGGTTTATGTTCTTTTGCGTCACCGCTGAGTTTTTTTACAAGATTCCATGCTATTTTGCTACTATGTGTCATGTCCATTTTTTCTAGGGTCTCAATCTACTTTTCCTGTCTGGCTTGACTTAGCTGTTGGAGTAGTAGTTTCTTGGCTAAAAGGGTCAGTGAAATAGAGGGTGTCATATGTTCTCATTAGTACTTTGGACTCGCTGGGCATCCCGGGAATATATTGTTGTCTACATCCCCTAGGGATAGTTTTTCTAGACACATTTTTGAGTACCTCTACAAATTTTTGGTAGTTCTCTACTTTTGGATCAAGGCGTAGTAGTTCAGAATCTACCATATCTGCATACTTTTGCCAGTTTGCCTTTTTGAACTTAAATCTTCTTCTGAATGGAATAGCTTGTGGTCTGACAATTGGAAAGATATTTATACCAATTGGTCTATGCTGAGTTTTTGGTATGGGCCATATACTACTTTGGTACATCGGTCTTCGAGGTTGTTACTTGAAAAACAGATATCCGGGTTATATCCTCTTTTCCAAACTTTACTCTGAAAAGATGGTGGAAGTTTAGGATCATGGATTAACGTGAGGCCACTTGTTTCGGCCTATGCTTCTACTGCGTCTCCATTTGCGTCCAAATCTGCATAGCCCCAGAGTAAATTGTGACTGTTAAAGTCTTCCAGTACAAGCTGATTGGGTTGTGATTGAAAATTAGTTGGGGGTGAAAATATAAAAGGCTGGTTTGGGGGCTCACTGGTTATTATCTCTATACCGTGTACATTTGTTGTTCCCACATATGAGACTATGGTTTAAGTTCTCACAAATACCGCGCTCCCATGCTTATTGTGTGGTATCTCCGCAATCAGTTTCATACCAGAGACTTTCGGTCTCGCTGCAGTTAGGTCTCAGTGGGTTTCCTGGATGCACAATACCTCACATTTTGTGTTCTTATAGAATTCTGATAAGATGTCTTGTTTGGCTGTGGTGATCCCGTCGATATTTATGCTCGCTACTGTCAGTGTTGGCTCTGAGAAGAACCGTTGTGGCTTGATCTTTGCCATCTGATTTGGTTTGGTCCGGTGTTGGAAGGATTAGCCGTCTACTAGTAGACGTTTCCAGGGGACGCCGTCAATAGTGTTTACTTTGCAGTTGATGTGGCACTTTTGATCTCGTGGAGGCTCCTTCCTTGTCCCCTTCCTCTTTAGAGAAGTATATGTGTGCTGACGTGCTGAGTTAATTCCGTATCTAATCATATTTCGGTGTTTCCTATATTAGCGTTAAAGTCTTCAATAACTTTTAAAATTTCGTTATGTGGTATATAGGAGATAACCTTTAGTTGTTCATATTCCGTTTGAAATTCAACATCTGAGTGGCCTATAGTTAGCGTGTGTTCTTAAACAAAATTTAGTTAAGAAGGCCTAGAACGAAAGTTGCCTGTCACTATACATCTTCCATAGATTTATAATTAAAAAATATATATTTTTAATTAGAATATAACCATTTTATTATACAAAAAAATAGCGATTTTACAATTAACATGTAAAACTAGCAAAGAAAATTACGCTCCTATATGCGGTTCTTTCCTATTTTATTATCTAATCTGTGTGACTAAAACAGTAGTAGTAACGATATACATTAATTTATATTAAAAGTTGAATATTTTATATATTACA